GGTCACAATAGAGATGAACGAGCCAGTCCAGCTGACCTTTGCCCTGAGGTACCTGAACTTCTTCACCAAAGCCACCCCCCTGTCCCCTACAGTCACACTCAGCATGTCTGCAGACGTTCCTCTGGGTGAGTGCAAGTGGCTCTGCTGGAGAAATCTTGCAGGATTGGAGCTTGTGAGTTGACTTTGCTGTAGAACCTTCTGAAGACCCTTTTCCCCCCTCTCTCTTTGGCAGTGGTGGAGTACAAGATCGCTGACATGGGACACCTGAAGTACTACCTGGCCCCAAAGATCGAGGACCAGCAGGAAGGCTCTTAAGTGGGGCAGGACTGAGGGGGAGCTGCTCGTGGCTTGGAGAAGGGAATGGTGTTGATAGCAATTCCAGTGCCTTGGAGCATCCTGGGAGCACTGTTAGGCTTGGCCTGTAGATACCTTTGTAAATATTTTTCAACTTTCTGTCTTGCTCTCTTTGGTATCTTTGGAAATAGGAATCGTTGGGGTTTTCCTAGTCTGTTCCTGTACTCCCAATAATCTCTTGGATGCTGTCTGAAGGTGAAATTTCTGACTCCTCTCGACTTGTGCAGGAGAAGGGGGACAATATTTAATGAGTCAGGATGTCTCCTGGAGTTTCACCTGTGTAGTTTAGGGTTGATGTTTTTATTATGCCACAAGTTTATGTGACTTGACTTCATTTATTTTTGAAGCTGATATTCTAACTGAAACTTGGGAATAAAAGGATATAATTTCATGGGGTTTGTCCTGTTGAAATGTGTTTTAGGGGGGTGGATCAAAGCTCTGCCAGGTGCTGAGCTGCCTGGGCTTAAAGTTCATCCAGTGCCACCCCCTGCCATGGGCAGGGACAGCTTCCACTAGCCCAGGTTGCTCCAACCTGGCCTTGCAATTCCAGCCCAGCCCCTCAACACCCTCACAGCCAACAGTTCTTTCCCAATATCCCCTCTCTCCCTGCCCTCTGGCAGTGGGAAACCATTCTCCCTTGTTCCCAGTCCCTCTCCAGCTCTCCTGGAGCCCCTTTAGGCCCTGCCAGGGGCTCTCAGCTCTCCCTGGATCCTTCTCTTCTCCAGGTGAACCCCCCCAGCTGTCCCAGCCTGGCTCCAGAGCAGAGGGGCTCCAGCCCTGGCAGCAGCTCCGGGGCCTCCTCTGGACTCTCTGCAGCAGCTCCAAATCCTTCTGATTGTGGGGATTCCAGGGCTGGAGCAGCTCTGCAGGTGGGGTCTCACCTGAGGGGGCAGAATCACCTCCCATGACCTACCTGTGATTCAAGGGCAGGGGTTCTGTAACAACCATCCCCTCGGGGGGTGCCGGGGCTGCCTCGGGCTGGGAGTGTCCCTGTGGCTGCCTCGAGGGCTCCCCTGAGGGCACTGGTGGCACCGGGACCCCCAGGTCACGCTGGGACCCCTCCTGGCTCCGGCTCTGCTGTTCTGAGGTGAAGCTGCGCCCGGGGACGGTCCGTGGATGGTCGGTGGGAGCCTCTCCCACACCTTCCCTGCTGCCCTCCCCAGTTGTAAAGCTTTGGAAGGGGCTGCCCAGGGAGGTGGTGGAGTCCCCACCCCTGGAAATGTCCCAAAACACCTGTGGATGAGGATATGGGTAAGAGGTGAGCACGGTGGTGGTGCTGGCTGATGGCTGCACTTGCTGATCTTAAAGATCTTTTCCAACCCCAACGATTCCGTGGTTTTAAGCATATTTTTCCAGGAGGGCGTGTCCTTCCCACTGCTCGGCAACTCGGGAGTAGCTCGAACACAAACGGCCTGAAAAGCTCCCTTGGAAGGGCCGAGTGGCGGAGCGGGAGGATGGCACAAGGTGGCGGTGCCGGAGAGGAAACGGATCCCGCTGGGTCAGAGCGGCGGCGCTGCCGCTGTGGGATGGACACCGCTCCCTGCTGGAGCCGGGGACAGGATTCCCCCGTGCCCTGGACCTTGATCCTGCTGGGAGCAGCCCTGCTTCGCTCCTGGGGATGGTCTGGAGGTGCCCGAGGCCGGGTTGGACGGGGCTTGGAGCGACTCGGGCTCGTGGCAGGGGGTGGGACCAGACGATCTTTCCGATCCCTTCCAAGCCAAACTGGTCTGGGATTCCATGGTTTGGACCCCGATTTGCTGCTGTGCTGCAGGTGCCTCCCACGCTGAGCTGTCCCGTGTCTCCATTTACCCTCAACTTCCTCGGCTGGTTAATTCAGAACCTTCAGGAAAAGCCTGGAAAGGAAGATCCCCGACCCTGAAGTTTTTCAGCACGGTAGTGGCAGAAGCCTTAAAGAACCAGGGGGCTTTTTGTCCCTCCAGACGTGGTGCTGGGGTGGGATCAGCCCTGTGGTGCCCACGGCAAACTGGCTTTGGAAGGATTTTGTGGGGACTTTGGCTTCGGCGGGGAATCCAGGGTTTGTGACACGGAAATAGGGAAGGATTCTGGGGTGTAGAGCCAGTGATTGAAGCAAATTCTTTTCGGTGCAACTTCCAGCTGTAGCAGAGGCCACCAAACTCTTCCTTTGTGCTGTTCTACCCATAAACACGTTGTCAAAATCAGCCAAATTGTTTAATTGCTTATTTTCACAGCTGAAATGACCCAAGTTGTGCAGCCTGTGGGTTGCAAGGAACATCCTTTACCATTGCTCCTCACCCACGTGTGTCCTGTTTGGTTTCTGCATAAACCCTGAAAGCAGCTGGACCTTTAACTTTGCCAGGCCCAGATCATGAAAATTTTAAAGGATATTCCCTTTAAAATAAAACAAAACAAAATAACCAACTAAGTGCAAAAAAAAAGCCTGGGGAGGGTTAATAAATGCCGGGGTTTCCTCCCTGTTTGAGAGGCAGTTTTAGTAGTTTATATATTTACACTTTCCTACCAAGGAGGTCATAAATAAGAAGGGAGGAGGGATAATTCTCTGGGATTTAAGGAGATTGGACTACTCGGGCTCCAAATCCAGCCCGTATTTTATTCGTTCCCAGGAAGCAGCTCCCTCGGGAAGCTCCTTGGAGGAGCCACATCCCCAACCCGTCCGCTCTGCTTTAGCATTCCCGGTGCTCTGTGTGTGTGTCCGTCCCCTCCCCGGCCCTGCAGGGATGTCCCGGGATATTCCCGGCTGGAAGAGCATCCTTCGGGAAAGCCTCTCTGTGGGAAGGCGCGGACGGAGCCGCTGCTCCATAAACCCCCCCCTCCCCTAAGATGTGAACCCTGGGGGTGATCCCGAGGGACACGGTCCAAGAGCTCTGCAATTCCAGCGGTTTTTTCCCCTGGAAGGCGAGGCCGGGAATGGCCGGCGGGGCGCGGGCGCCGCCGTGACCTGGAAGGAAATCGCCGTCACCGGGATAAACTTCCCGGGCAGCGCGGAAGGGCCGGGCCGGCACCAGGTACGGGGGCTGGGGGGGATTTTGGGGGGGCTTAGGGGGGTTTGGGAGCGCCCGGGGCCAGCCGGGGACCGGCGGTGCGGGGACACCTCGGGATGCGCCGGGGACACCTCGGGATGTCCCGGGGATGTTTTTGGGATGTCCCGGGGATGTTTTGGGGTGTCCCCGGTGAGCTGTGAGCTCCCAAAAGGGCCGGAGTGACCCCTCCCCAATCCCCCCCAGCCCCTCCGTATGTCCCATGTATGTCCCATGTGGAATATTGCTCCGCTTTTTAGGGGATAATCTGGGAATCCCCGTTCGCGTTTCCCGGATCCTCCCCCGGCTTAAAACACGGCCGAGATCTGGGATTACAGCCTTGGTTATTTTGGCCTTATAAATTGCTTAGTTGCTTGTTTATTTATATAAAGTAAATATTCCCTGTTTCTGCTCCTGAAGCGATTTAAGGCACTCCAGGCTCAGTGTGAGGCTTAATGGGGTTTAACTTGACCCTTAAACTCCCCGAGAGAGTATTTTTTTTATGCATTTGTCGCGAATAGCTTCGTTCTTGTTCACAGGTGGTGTACGGGAAAGGCAGGCAACTTGTGCAGGTGTAAATTAGAAATAATTCCTAAGAAGTTACTAAAAAAACTGGTGAATAATGGGGTGGTGGGTGAGAAAAAAAAAAAGGGGGAGATGGAGCCGAGTGGGGAAATGTGGCTTTCATTTCAGAAGCGATGGTTTATTTTGGCTTCTTCCCCTCCTGCACATCCACCCCCAGGGATGTGTGTGGGGGTTTTAGGAGACCCCGGGGGTGTTTGGGACCTGAAAAGCAGGGATGTGTGAGGAGCTGGGAATACCACCCTGTGGGTGGGAGGTATTTCCTAAAAGACTTTCTATAGTTGGGTTTTGCTACCAAACCAAGCCCCGAGGTTCAAACTGAAGGTTCAGCTGTGGGGGTTTAAGATCAGAGGGCTTTGGTTTTTTGTTTTTAAAAAAAGTCAAATTTACAGCAGGAGGAACAACCCTGAGTGGGGAATGTGGGGGCACCAAGGGTTTTGTGGAGATGCATCACCTTTAGTGCTAAATCCTGTTCTGGGAGGAGTGTCTTTATCCTTTCCTGGATACAGCTGGAATGTGCACTTCTGTCCTCTTTATTCCACACTTTCTCAGCAAAAGAGCTGCTTTGTTTCTCTCTGGTTTGGGTTCACTTGCTGGTGTCCCTGTCCAGAAGCAGCTGGGGCTGGGACACCTCCCTGCTGGCACCAGGATCCCACTGGGAGCTGGGCTGGCCATGGCAGGATATTCGGGAATTTCAGTCTGGTTTTAAGCGCAGGTTCAAACCTTAAGCTTGGCTTTTGCTTTCAGAATTGGCAAACCCCCTTTGCAGCTGCGCCCATTTTGCATTTCAAGCTTAGAATCAAAAGCTTCAATACCTTGAAAAGTTTTCATTTACGAAGAACGACTTTTGAAGGGCAGATTTTTGCCTTTCGGTTGGAACAGCTTTGACTCTTTAGCTTCCCCTCAGAAACTTGATCTGCTGCTCCCAGACTCCACCACCCCATTCTTTTCTCCCATGTTTTTGCTCTTGCCTGTGTCTCCCAGGCTCTGGGTGATGCCCAGCCCTCCATGGAATGATGCCGTCCCGCACCAACCTCTCCGCTGGCATTCCCAGTAGCAAGGTGAAATATTCCAAGCTCTCCAGCACTGATGATGGATACATTGACCTGCAGGTAGGAAAAGGGGACTGTGAAGCAGGACAGGCAGCTTTGCCCTGACGGGCAGCTGCTCGTTTGTGCCTCTCTGGCAGAGGGACAAAGCCGGGTGGGAGCCACCACCTCGGCCCTTCCCCCCTGGAAAACCGTGGAGCTTCCCTGGGAACAGGGATGGCTGTTTAACAGATGAGTTTCCACGGGGGGAGGTGAGACCTGGAGCAGAGGTGAAGGGCTGGGTGGGAGGGCTGGCTCAGCAGGGTCTCCATGGGCAGGGTTCCTGATGGAGGAGCTGCCTCAGCCCTGTGTCCCGTGCCACCCGTGGGATTCCCAGCCCTGCCCTGCTGGGAGGGGAGCTGTGCTGAGTTAACCTGGGCTGTGTTTGGGGTCTTGCCATCCAGTTCAAGAAGAGCCCACCAAAGATCCCCTACAAGGCCATCGCCCTGGCTGTTGTGCTCTTCATGATCGGGACCTTCCTCATCATCATCGGAGCCCTGCTGCTGGCAGGGTACATCAGCAAAGGAGTGAGTGCTTTAATTACTTTAATTGCACCTTAATTACACCTGTTATCAGCTTTGCATTTCCTGCCCAGCCCTCAAAGCTGCCCTGGGCCCTCGTGAACCATCAGGTGACAGGAGCAGAAGAAACAGCCTCAGGATGTACCAGGGGAGGTTTAGATTTGATATCAGGAAAAGGTTTAAGTTTGATATTAGGAAAAAGGGTTAGGTTTGATATTAGGACAAGGTTTAGGTTTGATATTAGGACAAGGTTTAGGTTTGATATTAGGACAAGGTTTAGGTTTGATAGCAGGAAAAGGTTTAGGTTTGATATTAGGACAAGGTTTAGGTTTGATATTAGGACAAGGTTTAGGTTTGATAGCAGGAAAAGGTTTAGGTTTGATAGCAGGAAAAGGTTTCTCCACAGAAAGGGTTATTCAGCCCTGGAACAGGCTGTGCAGGGCATTGGTGGAGTCACCATCCCTTGGAGTTGTCCAAAAAACATGTGGATGTGACACTTAATGGTGAACGTGGTGGTGGGTTGTGGTTGGACTTGATGACCTCACAGGTCTTTTCCAGCCTTCACCATTCCACAATTCTGTGATCGTGTTCAGTGTGGAAATCCAGAGCCAAAGACCTGGAAAGCCGTTCCCACCACAGCGTTGAGCCATTTCCCTGGCAGCAGATCCCTGTGATCCCTGCAGCCTGGAGCAGGTTCAGAGCTGGGCTGGACACCTGCCAGGGAGGGCTGAGTTTTCCTGCCCTCCTGGGGTCCAGTTTCATGTCCCACCTCGTTGTCCTGGGAAAACCTCGGCCTGGGGTCATCACCTGCAGTGCAGATCCTCTGGTGACTCGGGCAGGAGAGTGTCGAGGACACAGCAGCAGTTTTCCCATCTCTGGGGATCCGTGGGAAGGGGATCTGCTCTTTGGAGCTGCCTGGGTGCTCCTGCCCCTGCCCCTTGGCCGCAGGGAATCGCTGTCAGTTGGCAGCTCCGCTTATCAGCGTGGAGCCAGCAGGGCTGGGGCTCTATCGGGGGCTCTCCAGGCACAGGGAGCTCAGCTGGGGCTCCCAGCCCTGGCTGCACATCCAGGGGGGATCAGGAGAAGGTCCCTCGAGGAGTTCCTGCAGCCAGGAGAGGATTACAAGTCTCAGCCTGATGACACCTGAGATACTTCTGATTTAGGATGGAGTTTTTGTTCTCAGCCAGCCAGGCCTGGGGGACGAAACGGGGAATCCTGGAATGGGTTGGGTTGGAAGGGACCTTACAGGTCATCCTGTTCCAACCCCTGCCACGGGCAGGGACACCTTCCACCAGCCCAAGTTGCTCCAGCCTGGCCTTGGACACTTCCAGGTATCCAGGAGCAGCCACAGCTCCTCTGGGCAGGATGTAAGAGCCAGGAAAGCACCCCCAGCCAGGCCTTGGGGATGAACCATGGAATCCTGGAAGGGTTTGGGTTGGGAGGCACTTTACAGATAATCCCTAGGCTGGGATGTGGGAGAAAGGAAGGCCCCTCACGCAGATCTCCTCGCTGTGCCCCTGCAGGACACAGACAGGGCCATCCCCGTGCTCATCATCGGCATCCTGGTGTTCCTGCCCGGCTTTTACCACCTGCGCATCGCCTACTACGCCTCCAAGGGCTACCGGGGCTACTCCTACGACGACATTCCCGACTTTGACGACTGAAACAAGCACCCCACCCCGCCCTCCTTGGTTGCTCAGAGCTGGTTTCTGTCCCCCCCCCACCCCTGGGGGGGCCTGGCAGGTCCTCCCAGCGTGTCCCTCGGGCGGTTCCCGGGTTTGAGGTGTTGCAGGTTGGCCAGTTCGGGGGGGGGGAGGGGATGGGGGGTTTGGGGAGGGGCTGGAACACGGAATTGACCAAAAGGAATTGCAAAGAACTTGGGATTTATGGTGTTCTTCCTCTTTCCTGCTGCCGGGAAGTCCTTCCCGGGCGAGGCAATTCTTGCAGTTTTCCAGAAGTAGCTGAGCCGCTTTCAGCAGCAGATCCTGGTTTTTCTCTGACTGTTTTGTAGAGTTTAGTTTAGTTTTCCATGAGATTGTGGTGGTTGTTGGCTTTACCTTTGCAGGCAAACACCGTAGTTCCGTTCTCCCTTTGCTCTCTGTCCATCAGAAATGCTTCCAGAGTCCTTGTCCTGAGCTTTCCTTGGAGTAACTCAAGTCTGATGTGCTTGGCAGGAGGGGGAAAACAGCACTGTAGGAAATAATTTACACACTGCACTTGCTACACAGCTCCTTGTCAGGCTGACCGAGCTCAGTTCCCCACAAACACATTCTTCCCAGGAGAGCTTTTCCCAGGCCACTGTTGCTTTGGGCAAAATCCGCTTATCCCTCACCAGGATTTTTGGTTATTATTTCAAACAGCTGAATGGACAACCCGGGAGGAGGGTTGGAATCCAGAGCAGGGCTCAAGTGTGTAAATACCAAAAATCTTGGGTTTGACTGATGTGGGTGTTGGAGGCATTCCTGGAGACGCCTGAATTCCGGCTGTCTGTCGGTTTGGAGCCGTTCTGTCCTCGTGGAGCAAATATTCTGTGCAGGGGCTGCCCAGGCCGGTGCAAAGGAATTCCCTGTGTAGTTTGCACTGACCAAATTCCCTCTGGATTGCTTTGCCATCGTCAGTCAGGGCAGGCAGAGCTCCATTCCCCCGAGGTGGGAATGCCTGGGTGTCCTGGAGAGGTGGGGGTGCGAGTGGATGCATTTAAAGTGAATAAAGTTCTATATTCTGTGTAACCTTGAGTTTGTTGTCGTTCCCAGGTCTCAGGGGGCGCTAAAAACTGTTCTGGTCAACCGGATTTGGGCTTTATCTGCAGCTGCTGCTGCTGCTTCCAGCTCCCCAGCGCTGCTGGGGTGGGTGCAGTCAGTGCTGGGCAGCTCTGGGACGGCTCCATCTGCTCCAGGACTCTCAGCTTGCCCTGGGCAGAGCTGGCATTGCTGCAGCAGGGAGGAGAATCTCCTGGAGGGCAGGAAAAGCTGCTGCCTCAGAAGCTCAGGGTTTGCTTTCTGAGTCCCTCAGTCCTGATTGGATGGGCAGAGACCCCCAGAGCTGGTTCAGGGGCCAAGTACTCGGCTCCTTTCGCTGGGCAGGGTTCCAGGAGCAGTGTCTGGTGGAATGTGGTGGCTGCTCCACAATTCCCAGGTGGGCTGAACGTTTTGGAAGGGGAGGGGGCAGGTGTGGCTGCTGGTGCAGAGCAGGTCCGTGGAGAGGTTGGTGAGATCAGTGCTGGATCAACGCCTTGCTCTGAACCCACTCCTAAAATTGCCTTTTTTCCTCCTTCAGTGTTCTGGATTAAACCCAAACCCCGAGCCAAGTTCTTTTTTTAACCTCCATCTCTTCCCTCATTTGCCTTAATTCCAGTGCTGCACTTAGAAGATATAACTGATCAAACTCAGCATCTCCCTTTTCCACCTCTGAAGGCAGAGCTGAGCGGTCCCCTCTGTGCTGTGTCACTGCAGCCCCCACATTCCCAGCACTGCCCAGCTTCCCAGATGGGCCACGTGCTCCTGGCAGCAGCTGGAATGTGTCAATTAGAGCTGGGTCTGGCCGGGAGAGCAGCTGCTGACGTCAAACCATGAATCAGCCTCTATTAGGGGATGGGAACGTGGGTTTGTTTGGGTTTGGGGAAAGGGGAGAGGAAGTGGAAGGGAAGTTTGGATGGAAAAAGCAAAGGGGGGGGCAGGGAGAAGATGTTTAAGTGGAGCTGAGCTGCAGAGAGTTGGGAAGTGGGGGTCAAGTAGGATAAATGAACGTGGGAGGGGCAGGAGAAGGAACTGCACTTTGCTGAGCCCTGTGGATGCCTTCCAGCTTTGGGTATCCCGTGGTTCTGAGGACGTGCTGACATTCCTGGAGGAAAGGCAAGCAATGAATTTGCTTTTATTTGACAGAAGCAGAGCCCTCAAGCAGCACAAGGGATAAATAAGAGCAGGGCCTGCCCTCGTGCTCCCAGGGCTGGGTGAGGGGTGGCCACAGGGAAGAATCCTCTGCAGGGACCAGTTTACATCTAATTTGGAAAAAAGGAAACACTTCTGGGAAAGAAAACAAGGGATTCTGAACCCTGGAAATCTGTGGGTCCAGAGGAGCTCATCCTCTGAGTTAACACACTGCATTTGAAGCACAAGCTTTCCTCCAGAGCAAAGTCTCCCTGTCTATTAATTACAAACCTCTCTTATTAATTTTCTGGCTGTACTGTACCTCAGAGCCAGGCTTCAAACTTTTTTTTGCCAAATCGCATGAATTCACGTTTATTTAAAGAGATGTGGAAACTTCTCTGCAAACATGTTGTTTCCCTCAGCCTGGTTCCTGCTGGGGGTGAGCTGCTCGGTGCTGCAGCTCTTCCTATATATATAATATAAATAAAATATCTATTCTTTATTTCATATACTGTTTTCTATATATTCTTTATTATCTACGTTATATTTTTTATATATTATATAAAACCAGATTTTAGATCTATAAGTATATATTTATTTTCTGCTTTTATATATTATATAATTATATATAATTATGTAATTATATATCATTCTGGAGGTTGTCTGAAGTGATGAGGGGAAGGTGAGGAGGATCCTCACCCTGTCCTGGGCTCTCAGTCCCAGTTAAGGGTGTGGAACCTCAATGCTGAGTCCCACACACTCAGGACTTTGCCTCTGTCCACACAGAGAGCCTTGGAAAAGACAGGATCATAAAATCACTCAGGCTGGAAAAGACCTTTAAATCAAGATCAGTCCAGCCATGAACTCCCAACTGACATCATTCCCCCTGCAGGGAAGCAGCTGCAGCTCAATCCTGGGAAAGCAGGTGCTCCAGGCAGCAGCTTGACTTGTGCTGTGGATGATTTTGGCCTCCCTGTTGGTCCTTCTGCCTGAGATTCTTCTCCCTGTGCTGGGGGAGGTTCCTGGGATGGGGAGAAGAGCAAAGCCCTTCGCTGGTCCCCTGGTGATGCAGCGAGAGGGAACGTGAGTTTGCAACTCCTTGTTGATGTTTCTTCTTACTCTCCTGGTGACCTCCTCCTGTTGTGCTGCTTCCCTGGGGTGGTGAGAGGAGCCTGGGCTGGGCAGCAGGTTCCTGACCTTGGTCCTGCAAACATTTCAGTGGAAGTTGTGTGGAAATGAGGGAGAGAGGAGGTCAGGGCTGTTAATACAGCCCCAAGGCAAAGGCTGGGTGTGAACACACAGCACAATGAGCAGCAGCATCCCTGGTGCTGCCCTGGAGCCCATCCTGCAGGAACATTCAGCCCAGCCTGGGTTTGCTTTCTGTCACCTCCAATCAGCCAAATTCAGCATCACTTTGCACAGAGAGGCTCGGGACAGAAATACAGAAATACAGGGGTTGTGTGGCACAAAGGACACGTAAAAACCCCTCGGGGCAGGAGGAAATGACTCAGCACAACAGCCCTGGCCCTTCTAATGGGATCTGGGCTTCAATCCTGCACTAAGTGAGTGTCTCCATGTGTTCTCCACACTCCTCCCCCTCGTGCCTGCTCTTTAAAAGTCCCAACATCAGCCCATTCATACAACTCCTCACGCCTTGTGCCTGTCCCTGAACCAGCCCTGAGCTTTCTCCTGGCCCTTCCCTGGGGCTCTTTGTGCTGCTCTTCCCGAGTTCTCAACTTGCAAAGCCCTTCCAGGACTCCTTTGGCTGATCCTGCCTTTCCAGGTGGCCTCTCCTCGTCGTCGCTGCCCTTGGAGCTGCATCCCCTCAGCAGGTCAGTGCCACCACCCAGCCCTGGGGTCTCCCTGCTCTCCCAACCACCACCAGAGACCTTTGGTTCCCCCCTCCCAGCTCGGGGGGGAACTCAGCAATCCTGCCTTTCACTTCCCGCCTTCTCGACCTGGTGAAAAGAAACATTCCTTGCCCTTTCTTTTCCCCGAGCTCTGAGTTCATCCCAGCTGTGCTTCCCTGCTCCAGGGCAGGTGGCACTTGGTGTTCCACCCTCCCGTGGGAAATGTGGATGTGCACAGCAGTTCCCTTCTCCTTCCTCGGTACACAAACAGCTTTGAGGGTTTTTAGGAATGTTGGATTTGACTAAAAATAGTCCAGACAGTTCAGCAAGGCCATGAGAGGTTCCTGCCTCCCCGGAGAGTTGGCTTTGTCCTGAGATGGAGCCAAGAGGGTCAAAGGGGGGAAAAAGCTTAATTGTGGATTAGGAATTATTGTTCCCAAATGATTTAATTGACTGATTTGCTTCTCTGGGCTTGGGCAGACTTTGTTTTGTGTTGTTTTGGTTCTTGTTGCCCTGAGGCCTTTCCTTCCCTGCTCTCTCCATGTGGAGGAAGGTGTTAAGAAGCTCTTTTCCATGGGAAGTGGGGCAGTTCTTGGGATCTGTTTGTGATGTGTCTGTGGCCTGTGTGGACAGAGCAGAGCTCTGATAAGGATCAGGAAATGAATCTCCCTTCCCCCACACTGTCCTTGGGTTGGATCCTGGGCCCTGCTCATCCCTGGAGCAGCACAAAGACTGCAACGCAGACCCACGAGGTTCCTGTAGAGCTTTTCCAGCCCTGCACTCACAGAGAGGAACAAAACTGTGATGAATCTTCTTTGGGAGGACGTTCAGCTCCTGGGAATCAGCAGGTTTGGCACTGAAGCCGAAGTTCTGAGGAGGAATCACCGTTTCATCCTGGGCTGTTAAGACAAAGGAGAACAAATCCACCCGTCACCGCTAATTAATTTTATTTTGAAATATTTACTTGGGCTGAAGTAGTAGCTGCTCTTAAGTATTTAAAGGATTAGCTTCCTGCTAGTCTTCCGTGCCTGCAACCATTTATTTAAGCTGTTGCTGCAAATCGTGCTGTTAACCTGTCAGGAGAGGCTTTAACCTTCCTTCCCCCGGCAGTGGGAAACGCCTGGTGCACATGGTCCTGCTGATGGGACAGTGAGAATCAACAACACCCCCAGTCAGGTCTTCTGGGCTCTTTTCCTTCTCTTCAAGGAGGGGGAAGCCAGAAATTAAATGTGGTGATAATTGTCCACGTTTGGGATATTGCAAAGCCGAAGGAGGGGCTGTTTGGAAATGCATCCCACTCCCGTTGCCAGGGGAAAGGATTCCTGTCCCTCCTGCTGAGCTGGCAGCAGGCAGCAGCTCCCCTGCTCTCAATCCACTGGCCTGACGTGTTCCTCAGCCCTTGCTGCACTGTGTTTAGGGCAGGTGGTCAGACCAAGCCACCCAAACCAGCTGCCCAGGGGGAGCTCAGTCACGCAGAGCAGCAGATCCTGAGCCAAGGCCGTGTTTGGCAAAGGGAATGTCGATGGATCTACATTGAGGAGCTGAGAACTCCCCTCAGCCAGGATTTACACACCTATTGAGTGTAAAAGGGAAAGATCTCAGGTCCTTAAACCTTCAGGTAGTGATTAGCACCACCATATAATTTTCCAGCAATTGTTTTCATTAACATGTCATCAGAAGGAGTCTGCCAGCTCCTGTAATCCTCATTTCTCTTGTCTCTCAACGCTCACAGTCCATGTCACAGCATGACTCCTTCCCTGCTATTTTGGGTGGTTTTTTACCAGACAAATGCCTTATTTTCTCTGTATTTGATGCTGCAGGTCAAGTGAATCCTTCTCTGCCTTTCACTGCATGGGAACAGAGGCAGGATTGTAACTTGGCCAGTGCAAATGTGCTCCTAAAAATAGACCAGTAGATGGTCTCCAGCTTCAGACACAAAAAGCGTGTTTGTAAAGGTTTCTCTTTGTTGTGTGGCCACATTTCAGATCGCTGAGGAGACACTTCAAAGTTCAGCTCCCAAACAGCTCGTGGGTTAATCCTCCCCCGTGAAACAAAGGCAGCTCTTTGACCGGCCCGTGGTCGGATGTGACTCGGAGCAGGGGGAGCTGGCAGCAGCTCCACTCGGGATCTGTCATCCCTTTAGAGGGGCAGTGCTCCAGGACACGGTCCCAGACCGATGCCAGGTGTCCAGAGGGAGGGGCAGAGCCACATCCCTGCTCCCCCCTCTGCCTTGGGCTTGGAAAACGATTCCACAGTGGCAAGAGGGGCCAGAGCTTGCAGGACACTTGAGTGGCACTGTTTGGCACCAAAGATGAGAAGCAGAGGTGGCACTTCAGGCAGGGAAGGAGTTAATTGACTGAAGGGCAATTTGGGGGGGAGAAGTTGGAGTTCATTGTCCCAGGCTCTCTCTGGATTTCCTTTTTGTCCTTTTCCCTCTGACTCCCGGCTCTCATCAGAAAAGGGGTTGCTTGTCCTTGCTCTCTCTGAGTTGGTTTGGGCTGTGAGCCCTCCAGGGCATGGCCTGTGCCCTCACCTGTGTGCAGGAGCCCAGCGGGGAGCTGTGCCACAGGGAACTATAAATAGTAGCCTGGCCAGCCCTGTGGCATCCCAGCTTGCTAAAATTGCCTGCTCTGCACTCCCGTGACAAGTGTTGGCTCAGCTGTCGGGGAAAGGAGGAACTGAGAACTGTCCCCACAGCTCCTGGGCTCCCTGTTGAGCTCTGCTTTGGGCTCAGTTCTCCCATTGCCTCTGGGAATTCTGCTTTTCCTGTGTGTCAGGGATGATTCCCAGTGTCTGCCCAGTGAGATTTGGGCAATTCAGCCTCAGAGGGACTTGTGGTGTCACCTTTTCCAGTCTCCAGCTTGTGCCTCAACACCTCACACTTTCATTTTGCCTTTTGCCCCTTGCTGGAGGGGGCTGACTCTGCAGCAAAGTTTTTGTGCCATTCCTGATGTCACTGCGTGGTTTTGTCACTCCCTGCTCACGCCAGGGATTAAATGAGTCACAGGGATAACAGGAATGTGGAGATCCAAGCCCATCCCTCCTCTCTGAGCAGGTCGTGGATGATCTTTGGGAAGGGCTTGCCAGGGAGTTAAAGCAGGGCTTGTGCCTGCTCTCACTTCTCTGCTGAGGGACGAGTGAGCAACCACGAGGGTGCTGCTGCTGCCCGTGCTTTGCAGAGTAAAGGACCTTCACTTGAACTCCCAGTGCAGGTGGCTGAAGAAAACCTCTTTTAATCTGTGCTAGAAAGTGATTTTGTGCACCATTGTCCACACCCTGCTCAAGGAAGCTGCAGTGGGAATAAGTTGCTCTGGCCCTGCCCACAGAAGCTGCAGTTTGTGGCCACAGCTTTGAGCAGCCACGCGTGAACGTGACACGAGGGGGCAAATCCCACTTGTCTCCTGCTCGGAGACCATCCCTGCAGGTGCCACAGGCTCCATCCTGGAACAACCCTGGGGAGCTGTCAGCTCCAGCAGAGCCTCTGCTGCTGCCACAGCCACTCAGAGGCAGGAGATGTGGCCCCAGCGACTCAGCATTTTGGCAGCACAGCCTGGCAAAAAGGGAGCAGGGGGGGATAAATCCATCCTGCTTTCCTGGGCCCCTCCTGCTCCCACTCCTCCCGGGATTTAAGGGCTCTCTTGGCTAATTCGAGGGGCTGTGCTTTTGAGAAGAGGACTGGGAATGAACTGGGATTGGTGACTAAGCCCCATCTCCTCCTCTGCCTGACAAATCCAGGCTCTGCTCCTGACTCAGCAGATGCAATCTCATCTCTTGGGTACAGCCCTGAGGTACCAGACAGAACAGCAGCAGGGAGCTCAGCTCCTCCTGCAGAGCACGAGCTGTCCAGCTGAGTTAGTGTCACTGGAGCTCTCCTGTCCCCCTTCCTTCCCTCTGTTCCTGGTACAGCTGAGATGGAAACCCCGTGGCCAGCGGGGTTTGAGCTCCACTGCAGGAGCAGAGGAACCTGTCCCGGGTTGTTTGCTCTGTTCTGGCTGCCAAAATCTCCTCTCCATTTACAAAAAGCTTTGCATATCCCAAGGTGAAGGGAGGTCTCCTCTCTCCAGAAGCCACAGAGGTGAAACCACCGTGACACGACCAGCAGGGACCCAGCAGTTCTGCAACCAGGCAGATTTCTGTCTCCTGCTCACCTATCGATTTATTTATGATGTGAATTCAGGCAGCTGTAACTCTGCAGTGTCTGCTGGTTCTCCCCTGATATCACAAGCACAGCAGCACCTCTTGGATCTCTGGCTGAACCCTCTGTAATTTGAGCACTTTGGCCCAAAGTGGCCTGAGAGCCTTGGGCCAAAAGCTCTCTTTGCTACCAGGAGCACTCTGCACTAATTAAACTCCATAAAATTCTTCCTGCCTGCATTTTCCGATGACAAACTGGAGAGCTGAGCTCAGCTGACAGACCAGAACTATGTCAGTTCAGCTTCAGAAACTGTTCTGAGGAAAAAAAATACATTTTTTCTAACTATATTTCCATCTAACAGTGGGGGGAAAAGAAATGATAAATTCCTGTGGCTCAGGGAGCAGAAAGTGTTCCCCACTCAGGTGGCATTTTAACCAAGGGTTGTTCACTTGCTGTCCTCCCCCCAGAGAACAGAAACCCAGGGTCTGCCCAGCTCAGAGTCCTCTTCACTTCACAGTCACCACTCCAGATTACAGAGAGAGAAGCAAAAAAAATATCACTGCTAGTGAGTTGTTAATTTTTGGGCCATATCTTGGGGAGTTTCCACTCAGCCCCACTGCAGCTTCAGGAGTTTCATTTTTATGTTGTCTAATCCAGCAAAAGATATTCCTGTTATCCATATCCACGTGTGCTGGGCTCCTCTTAATCTCTGGATTCCATCTGTGGGATTCACATAAAATATTGTTACTACGTGGTGAGGCAGACTATTTTGTTTTATTTTATTTTATTTATTTATTTTTCGAGTGTTGTAAAAACCAAACTCAAAACACCCCAAGAAAACGAGATGGGGGATTGCAAATGAGTTCTGGATCCCAGACCCAGCCCAGTCTAAGAATCCTGAAATGCTTTGGGTCGGAAGGGACCTCGAAGACCATCTCATTCCAAGCCCCTGCCACGGGCAGGGATGGCACTCACAAGACACCACCCCAGGATGTGAAGTTCTGAGCTGGTGTTTTGGAGATCCAGTGCTCAGATCAACGATTCACGTCCCGACTGACACAACACTTGGGTTTAAAAGGGAAATTTTTATTTTCTATCATTTTTTCATCATCTACGTTAGATGTGGGATAGAAAGGAAGACAAAGGGAATGAGTCTGGGATCTCAAAGGTCTGCACATGAAATGATTAATGGCTGCTAATTTCTCTTCCTCGTGAAGGACATGCACGTGGCACATCCTGTGGCTCCTATTCCAGCCTTTTTTTATGGTCCTGTGAGTCATCCAGGCAGAGAGGGACTGAATGTCTTGATAAATACCTAATTTTAATAACAGGAATCACATATGCCAATAATCCCGGGGAAATGATCCCTAATTCTGTAGCAGGACAGTGGGACAGCATCACATGGGCTCTGGCTCCCTGAGCAAGTGAAATGCCAGGGAATTTTCTCAAACTTTACAGCACAGAAGGTCACCTGGAAGGGAATTTATCTATTTAAGAGGAACAATGGACTGGAAACAGCTTTACTGGATTTGAGCCCGTGGTTCCAGGAGGTCCCGCTGTGTCAAATTCAATTCTTGGAGCACTAAATCCACCTTTATCATCTTTCCCCTGCTTGTCCTTGGGATTATCACCAGCCCGAGGTGTCTTTATCTGTTAAATTTCAATGTGACTGATGCATTTGAACTTCCCCCTTGCAGATCTCTCGCTGTACTACCTGGGTTTCCCTCTGCCATCTTCCACCTGGGGAAGGAAGGTTGGAAAATTATAACCCCTAAAAATAAAATAAGCAGAGCTGTGTCCCTGTCAGTGATTCCTGAGCACGGGAAGGCCTCATAGGGAGACTGGATAGACACGATCCATCTTCCTGTACGAAATCCTGTCAGCAGCAAAACTGCTCCAGCCTCAATCAATCTGGTATCACTAAAACGTCCCTCACATCACTCTCCACCTGAGCAGCAAAGGCTTTTAAGATTTAAAAGCTGCACTAAGGCTCTGTGTGTGTTTGGGACAAGGCCAAGTATCGAATGATGCCGAGGGATCGATATTCATAACGTGGAGCAGCGCTGTGACTTAGCCCTGCCCTACATAGTTCCCCATATGGTTCACTGGAAAACCTTTTAGAGGCTTAACCAGGAGAGCACTGCAGTGACCGTGGGCAAAAACGCTCGGGGATAAGCACAAAGGCTGCGGGGGCCTCGTGGGGTCTCCGCTCTTACAGTAAGCCCCGGGATTTAATGGGATCGGATGAAACCCTCTGTGCAGGGAGGTGGGACGGAAGGGGTCGGGCAGCTGGTGAACAAACACTCTGTAAACAGTCCTGCCTGGCAAACCCTGAGCAAACAGCCACGGGGGAGGCAAAGACCTGGGAGATCAACAAAGATCTGCAGGTCTGGGGGAAAGCTGCACTGGAGCACTGTCGGTGGCAGGGCTGGGGGAACACGGGCTTTGGGATCCACGGGCTTTGGGATCCACGGGCTTTGGGATCCACGGGCTTTGGGATCCACAGGTTTTGGGATCAATGGGCTTTGGGATCCACGGGCTTTGGGATCCATGGGCTTTGGGATCCATGGGCTTTGGGATCAATGGGCTTTGGGATCCACGGGCTTTGGGATCAATGGGCTTTGGGATGCCCTTGGTGCTGTCAGGGAGGGACCTTAATAAAATAACCGACAGGGTCTGGGGGGTGAAAGCTCAGTGTGGGTCAACATTACCTCAAGGACACTGTGTGAGGGTTGTGCTGTGCTGCAGGGCACGGATTAGCAGAGGTGGCTCTGGGGGCTCAGCCCCGGCTTCCCAGAACAGCCCTGAGCTGGTGTGTCAGAACTGCACGTCCTGGAAAGGGCAGGAGGCAAATTAAAGCGAGTTAACGCTGTCAGAATCCATTAGGAAAGTCAGATGTTGCCCAGAGGGACGTGAGGCGGGCAGCGTCCAGTGCTGGTACCAGAGCACAGATGTCAGTGGTGTGTGAAAACAGCAGTGCCTGAAGTCCCTCCATGGGCTGGGGGGAGATTGTGTCGGATTTGTCCCATCTCCCTGCCAGGAAACTGTGGAAATCTCAGAAAAGGGAGATTGTAGGAAGAAGGATGTGGGTATGGTGGAGGTGTCATCTTCTGGGGGATTCTGCTTTCTTAACCTCCTCGAGGATGAGAGGACATGGTCTCAAGCTGTGCCAGGGCAGGTTCAGGTTGGACATCAGGAAGAATTTCTTCACAGAAGGGGTGATCAGACATTGGAAGGGGCTGCCCAGGGAGGTGGTGGAGTCACTGTCCCTGGAGGTGTTCAAGGAAAGACTGGATGTGGCACTCAGTGCTCTGGTCTGGGGGGGATGATGATGTGGGGGCATAGGTTGGACTTGATAAACTCAAAGGTCTTTTCTGACCTAATTGATTCCGGGATCCTTTTGCTGCTCCTTAAGCTCACTTTCCTATTGTAAAAGTTGGATTTTTCTTTAAAAATAGTAATTAAAAAAAACCAAAACAACAAACAAACAAACAAACAAAAAAACCCAAAGAGAAAACCCAAAGCAAATCCCTGAAAGGGTCAGGGCCACCACTGTGGTCCCTTCCAACCTTACACGTTCTGTGTTTCCGTGGTTCCGTGACTTGTCTTCCTAGGATAAACTGCTAATATGTGACTATAATTTGACATATTCCAGAACCACCTGGACACAACCTTGGGATGACGCTGATGGAGCAGCGAGCTTGGACCTGATGCCCCACTGTGTTCCCTTCAATCTGACCCTTCCTGTGTGTCTGTGATTTGTGTCTTTCTAGGGTGAACAGTTAATAAATCACTGTAATTTGAGATTCTCCAGAACCACATGGATGCAATTCTGTTCCGCGTGCTCTGGGATGATCTCGCTTGGGCTGCACCTACTGTGGTCCCTTCCAACCCTAGACATTCCATGTGGTTCTGTGACCTGTGCCTTTCTAAAATAAACCATTAATGTGTTCCTGTAAGTTGAGATATTCCAGAACCACCTGGACACAACCTTGTTCCGCGTGCCCTGGGACCTTGAGGTCCCCCTTTCTGCGGTCCCTTCCAACCTTACGCGTTCTGTGTTTCTGTTGTCCTGCAACTCGCGTCTTTCCAGGATAAATCATTAACATGTCACCGCAAACTGAGACATTGCAGAACCACCTGGACACAACCCTGCCCCATGTGCTCTGCTGGCCCTGCTTCAGCCGCGAGCTTGGACCAGACACCTCACTGCGGTCCCTTCAACCTGACCCATCTCCGACTGGGGGGCCTTTCTGGGGCAAACCGCTGCCACGCCCCCGTCATTTGGTTTTGTTTTTTTTTTTATTATGGAAACAGGAAGGTTTTTTTTCCCCCGGAGGGGCTCCATCCCCTCCGCGCCGCGGGGCCGCCATGGCGGCCGAGCCCTGAGGGAGCGGGCCCGGCCATCTTGTCGGGGGGCGGAGCGGGGCCCGTCCCGCCCCGTGCTCTGCCTGCCGGGGCCGCCCGGCCCCGCCGCACTCTCCGCGGACACCGAGGGGAGCGGATCCTCGCCGGCCGCGGGGAGCGGAGCCCGAGGGGAGCGCTGCCGCAGCCCCGGCGCCATTGCCGCCCTCAGCCCGCGATGGCAGGTGAGCCCGTCCTCGCCGCCCTCCTCCCCCCGCCGCCGCCGCCCGCCCTGAGGGAGCAGCCCCGCGTCGCGCTGCCCGCGCCCCGCGTTGCGCTGCCCTCACCGCCGCCCCGCAGCCCTCCCGCCCGCTGTCAGCGCCGGCCCGGCCCCCCCATCCCCGCATGGCTCGCCCCGAGCCCCCCGCGGGCCGGGGGGTCGCGGGCTCCCCGCAGCCTCCACCATGTTGCCCGGCCGCCGGTTCACCTTGGCCCGCCCCGTCCGCACCTCGGCCGCTCTCTTGCCTTTTCGTTTCGCGTTCGGTGTGTTTAACAGACCCTTCCGCGTCCGCCCGCTCTGCCGCGGGCTCGGCATCGCCTGCAGGGGCCGGGGAAGGGGCGCGGGGGATGCCCGAGGTGGCACCTGCGGCGGGGTCACCTGCCCGGCGGGGCCGCGGGGGGATCGCTCCCCGGGTGGGGTGTCGGGTGTTCTCTGCGTTCCTTTGACATCGGTATTTTTTTATTATTATTATTATTATTATTATTATTTGATAGTTATTTTTCCCCCCCCCATTCCTTTAATCTGGAACAAAATGGGTGGCAAAGCCGTGAGCTTGCAGATGGGATGGAGAAATGCAGGTTAATTCTCCCCTGGTCCTGAAGGGGTGGCCTCGCTCTTCCCTGATCCCGTTCTCGTGATACGCTTTAAAGGTTTTTTTTTTTTTCTTTTCCCCCACCCTTTTAATTATTTGTATGCCTTTTTTTTTTTTCTTTTTCAGTGCACATCGAGGCAGTAAATATTTCAATTTTCTGCTTTTGACTTGCGAGCCACGTTCGATATCATGTGTGGGTTTCTTTTGTTTTAAGGTACATTTTGGTTAGAAATAAGTGATGTATGTAGCGCAAAAAAATGCCTGAACAAAGCTTGTTGAAAGCCTTTGATTAGATTTCCTCACTAGAGTAACAACTAACAACCATTACCATTCATTCCTGTTATTAGTGGCTTTTGCCTTTTCCCGGAAAAGCTGGGAATGAGGCAGGGGCTTTACAGTTTCATCCCCATCCCTTCATTTTGGAGCCCTCGGTGTCATTTTGGAGCCTGGGGAGCCCAGCCCTGGGGGCAATTTGGGTTCCCCTGGCCAGGTGAGTGCAGGCAGGGCTGACCCCAAAGGCAGCAGCAGCAGAGCCAGTGGAAGATTCTGGCAGGGAAGGGAAATCCCCAGATGTGTTTTAAGACAAGGTAAAGACCTTGCTTGTTTTTTCCGTCTTAGCACTTCCCTCACACAGCTGACTCTCACTACAGTTCAGTGCCAGGTAAATACAAGGCTTCCTGTTGCTGATGAGCTTTATTTTTCAATAAAAAACACCAAACGCTGTGTTTTCACAGGGAGCTTGATGTGCCTGTGTGTTCTCACTGCAGCACAGTGCTGCCAGGCCTGAGCAAGCTTCAGATTGCCCAGTTTGAGCTTACAAAGTAAGCTGGTTTGGGTAATGCCTTTTCCTGGCAGGTGGAGTTTGATGCAGGCTGGGAAACAGAAGTGGAGGAGCGGGACAAATGCTGGAGTGATGAGCCAGTGACAGAGCCAGGCTCAACTGCACACCTCGATCTGCCAGGCGATTTCACTGCAGACCAAGGATTATTGCAACAAGTAGCTCAGGTTAGCAAACTGGAAAATAATCCTGGAGATATGTAGAACAATTGGATTAGCAGTTGATGAGCTCTCACCACCCCACTCCCAACCTCAAGTCACGATCCGGAAAGCTGGAAATTAGAGCAATATTATCCTGGAGATGCACTGAAACAAACTCAACCTTGGGCGAGCGAGGAGGTTAAACAAGCCCCGAGATTTTTATCGTGGATTTAAACAAGCCTCTGGCATTAGCAAAGACGCCAGCAGGACTTAAAACTGTCTTGTCAGAGCCCTGGGGATGAGAGGAGTTAACACCGGGATTCTCAGGAGGGTGTTGTGCTCTTGCTGGGCCTTAACGGGCCGCATTCAGATGGTTTAAAATCCATCTCCCAGTCTGTCACCTGAGCCAGGCTTAGCTTTGCTGAGCTGCTCTCTGGAGGCTCTCACTGAAGGAGCAGGGTGGGAATGAGGTTCTCTGAGCACGGGCCCTGATGAAAAACAGCTTTTCAAGTGGGGTAATTTGGGCTGCAGGTTGCTGGGTGTTTCCTTTGGGGACAATTGAAGCAGCCCCCATCCATCACCCCCTCCCAGCCTTCCTGCGGTGACCCCTCAGAGCTGGGACCTCAGTCCGGGATTAGCCCATAAAACCTTGTGTTTGTATGGAAAATCACATCTGTCTGGGGGATTTTTACCTGCTCCTGACCCTCTCTGAGCCCAGGTAGATCTCAATGTACCTCCCTAAATTCGTACTGGGTGGAATCTGTGTCGGGGGAGGCTTTTTAAAGCTACCGAAATGAGCATTTCTGTCTTCTGTGGTTCAGAAGGTGAATTCCAGTGGAGAAACGAAAGTCATGTCTTTCTTGGTATTGTTTGGTTGGAGAATCTTTTCTTGGGGGGGAGCTTGACATAATGGCAGTGTTTGAGGATTCTGTTGGGTTTTTTTCCTAATAGATAACTTCCACTGTGCATTTTCCCCACATTATTTAGAAGACTCCTTAGAAGGTGCTGCATTTGTATGCAGTTGCCATTTCGAACGTTTTCTGCCTTTGATTCTGTCAGTATGTTTTGGGTTTTTTTATTGATCTTCTTCCTGCTGTAGCCAAATCTGCCGACTCCCTCCACGTGAGGGCCTGTCCTGCGTGGCTTTGTTGTGCTGTGTGTGGGTTGATGGGAGACCATTGAAAACCTGAATGGGTGTAACTTCACCCATTCTCGGTGTGGATTCCTCCAAGAAGGGGCTGTTAAGCTGCTCTAACGACCTGCTCTGACCTGCAGCATTTAACCTCTTCCAGTCCTGGAGAAGAAGGGAAGGGAGAAGAAGCCTCCTGGAACACCCTTGGGTGACAAACCCGTGTCCCACCCAAGGTGATTTTTGGGAGATCATTGAATTAGAGAATGGGTTGGGTTGGAAGGGACCTTAAAGTTCATCTCATCCCACCCCCCTGCACACCTCCCACTTGCCCGGGTTGCTCCAACCTGACCTTGGACACTTCCAGGGATCCAGGGGCAGCCGCAGCTTCGCTGGGAATTCCATCCCAGCCCCTTCCCACCCTCACAGGGAGGAATTTCTTCCTGAGAAGATCTTGTTCTGCTGTTGCTGTTCTGTCTTTGTGTGAACCCCCGTTAAGAAATCTCAAGCCCCAAAAGTTTCTGTGGGTTTGTTTTTTTTTTTTCTTCCATAGATTTATTTTGCTTCCAAACTCCTCAGCGTTTATCCTTACTGGAGAAAAAGCAGATGGCTGCACAGAGCCCTTGTTCTTCCATTGAGGATGATGGTTTCCACGTGGCTGGGAAAATGTATTTTTGTATCTAGCGTTGTTCTTTATGAAGCCTTAGTGGTCAGGACACCGACTGACAAATTACAGGGGGGGGGTTTATTTTGCTTAAGAGCTGCAGGAAAAAAAATATTGACGTATGGGGTGAGTAGAGAGATGTGCTCCACGGTGCAGGGGAGGCAGGAAGAAAACAAATCATTCCGGTGGAGGCTCTTGCCGTGCTCCCCAGCGTTCCCAGGGGTGAAGTGTGTTCAGACACTGCCAGCCTTTTGCTTTATGGCCCAATGTTTTCAGTTGTTAGGAGCTGTCTTAGGACAGGCTTCCGTTGATGGCAGGAAAGAAATGCGATGGTGTTTGGCTGTTTTCAGGTTAGGGGAAGGAAATGTTTGCTGCCTGAGTGTTCTGCTGGAGATGGATCTAAACGGGGGTTTCGTGCCATGGTAATCTGGCTACTTCCTTGGAAGGGGAACTGGGGTGTTGAGACATCTCTGGCGCTTGGTGGGGGAAGGAAGGAGGTGGGAGAACTGGTCTGCTGGTTCAGAAACCTCCTGTTCTGGTTTTATTTCTTCCCCTCGCCATTAATCTTGACCGTATCTGTTGCCAAACAGCACTAACTGTGTGTGTGGCACCAGGAATTCCACGTGCCTGGCCATGCACGGCCTGTCCCCTGTGGTTTCCTACCTCAGAGGGCTGATGAGCTTATTTTTTGGTCCTGAATGTTGTCATCAGTCTCGTAAATAGTGACTCATCCTACTCCCTGTTCTGCACAGAGCTATGACTCTTTCCCTGGCCCCAGAGCAGGGTTGGGCTGCTGGGCTTGGGGAGCTCTGGGATGGGTTTGGGAAGGAGGAATTGGCCACCAGGGTCCCAGCCAGGCTGTGCTGGGAAGTCCCAGAGCACAGTTTGGTCGTCTCTCCATCCTGTGTATTGTGGGAGAGGATGGAAATCGTGCTCCTGTCCCACAGCTCCATTTGCTGCAGAACGACTGGGCTTGAGGTAATCGTAAAACTGCCATTTAATGAGCTCATAATTAGAAATTCAATGATCTAAATCTCCCCGTGTCTCAGTGCTCAGGCCAGAAGATGCAAGTGCTGGTTTAGGGAGGGGAATGCACTTACCCATCCAAGTGTCTGCTCTTTTTAGAATTTTATTATTATTTTTTCAAAAAAGCAGCTTCAGGAGAGAATAAACATCGGCCTATTTTGGCAAAAGGGAATTTCAGCAGAATTCCTTCTCACCACATTCAGGCAGCCAGGATATTTTATTCCTCGTCCCAAACCGGTGTTGCTGTAATAAAATCGAGGTGCACTGGTAAGGGGGTTACACAGAGGGAGGGCACGGCTGGGCTTCAACTTGCGTGTTTTGGAGCCTGATCCATCTCCCTCCTCGGAACGAGGGATGTTTTCATCTTGTACTTGCGTCAGCAAAACGCCTGAGAAAACAAGCTTTGTCTGATAGTTGTATTTTTAGGAGCAGATGGGAGCAGAGGAGTCCAGTTGTAGCTGTGGAGGAGGAGGAGGTGTGAGTGGCCACGAGGTACCTGGGAGTATCTGGGCTCTGAAAGCAACAACTGGGCTGGTTTGGGGGTGTTTGGGTTTATCCAGCATTGCCCCGTTATCT